CTCCATCAGAAATGTGATGTAAACAGCTGCAAAGATGTGGCTGTGCACCTCCAAAGACATTTCCCACCAGGTATGAATCTGAGCAACACGGATTGCAAACACAGCAGAGATTCTATCTGATATTTTGTTAAGCTAATTGCCTATATCTAAAAGCAAGGTCTAATAAAATTGCCAAACTGAACTCTCGGTCTAATTAGACAACAATAGCTTCCAAAGGACTTAATGGAAACAAATGCCCATTCCAGGTACATGCTGACATTTCAGAAACACCAACCTCTTTCCAGCGTTCAGGAAGGTAACAGGGTCCATTCACCAGGAGAAGAGCTCCTTTTTAATGTGAAAACCCATTCTCCCCAGTACCCTTGAAATCTCATCCTGAGGCAAGTTTAAAATAATTCACGCTTTCCCTCTTACAAAAATATTTTCATATTTGAAGCAAACAGCTGTGATGCTGGTGGAGAATGGCAAAAATATGACCTGGAACAGGCTGCTGGTGCCTAGTGGGCAGGAGCCCACGCGTTGCTTCCCTGTGCCATGGGAGCAGTGAGTGGGTGCCTGGCAGGGAGAACACGCCTGGTACACGTGTGGTCCCAGTGAGCGTGTAGCTGCCAGACGGAGAGGATCCCGGTGTGATCTGGGTGGGTGGATCCCTGTGAGGCAAGCATCCCTGTTGTCAGCACTGTGTGCTGTGCTTGATGTAACAGTTGCAGAGCCAAGTGGGGCAAAGGGGCTGGGGGCACCCCATAGACCTGAGACAAGGTCACTGAGGGTCCTGCGCTCGTTTTGTGACTGGTTTCATGTTAACACAACTCTGTGATTACATGCTACGCTGTATGGACAGGAATTTTACACGAACTGTTAGCACAGTGAACTGCATCTAAGGGGGAGATTTAGGTTGGATATAAGGAAGAAGGTCTTTGCAATAAGTGTGGTGAGGCACTGGCACAGGCTGCCCAGAAAGGGGTGGGTGCCCCGTCCATGGAGACAGCCGAGGTCAGGCTGGATGGGCTCTGAGCACCTGATGGAGCTGTGGGTGTCCCTGTTCACTGCAGAGGGGTTGGACCAGATGGGTCTGTAAGGATCCCTTCTGACTCAAATAGTTCTATGGTTCTATAGCTTAGTGGACATGGTGGTGATGGGTTGATGGTTGGACTACATGATCTTAGTGGTCTTTTCCAACTTCAATAATTCTGTTTCTATTATGATGATGTGGATGGATTTCTGCCTAGCTTTGCTCCATGGATGTATGGCTCCTGGTGGGTTTTGCCCCACACAGGCAGCCCCTTCTCTCACAGGCTCCTTACCAAAAGCTTGAAAAAGATCAGAGCACACATCCTGCTCACTCCAGCTTCTCGTCCCCTTAAATGGGTCAGTCTTTCAGTAGGTGGGGAGGAAACATCTCATAAAAACACCGTTGTCAAGGCTGCTTCTAAACAACAGGGCAGATACGCACACCATTAGCATACAGGGACATGCAAGAAACTCCCTCAAATTCTGCCCTTGCTGACAACACCACCGTGAGTCACGTTGGCTTGGGGCCAGGCCAGGAGCAAGCTGCTGGGAAGCACCCGGGCAAACTTTCCACAGCCGACGCCTGCCCAGGTCAGGAACCAGCGTCAGGTATCCATGCAGGGATGCCGTGCTGAATGCTGCTGACTTTATTTTGGGCACTGGAGATTCTGGCTGAAAGATCATATGAGAGCGTGCCAAAGGCCCAGAAAAGGTAACTGCTTAGGAAGGCTCAAGGTCACCCAAGCTGCCCGCCTCTCCACAGTGACATCGCTGCCCTCCGGAGCAGCACTGCCGCAGCGGTGGAAGCCCAAGCATCCTCCACAGGGCATGTGGGGATGGCTCCAAGTGTCTGTGCCCAAGGGCAGTGGGCAGGGACGTGCCAGGAGCTGTGTGACATTCCGCAGAAGGGCAGCACAGTGCTCTGTGGGTTAACCACGAAGCTCCCTGCGCCGGCTCCCCTGCCCCAGCCACCAGACGCAAGCAGTTTGTTTTGCATTTGGGCTGGTAGGCTGGAAAACCAAAGTGCTGTGTTTTTAAGTTTATGTTACAGGCTTGCGTTCCAGTTCTGTTAATTAAAATCATGTAGCTGAATGAGCAGTCGCTGGATAGCTCGCGGGGTTTATTTTAAATTTTCTCTCTATTTTTTCTGGATGCTCGAGCATTTGATGCTCTTCCTCTCTCTGCTTGAAGCGCATTAATTCACCTACGTAGAAACTCTATCTGTCTGAACCAGTAAAAGCGTGCATTTGGGAATGGTTTTGTTTCTTATGGTATTTTCTGTTAGTGTTTGCCTACAGCTGCCAGTGTAATTTGTCAGAATAAACTAGGTACTTCAAAATCATTTTTTATACACTCTTCCTAAGTGTTCCACCATCATTTGAGAGGGAAGGGAGCAAGGGGACCCCCCAGAAAATAGAAAGGAGTATGAGCATGCAGGAATATACTTGGGTGATCACACTTCTTTCTCTTAGTGGGTGTGATCCATCACCTTGCCTGGATCAGTGGCACATAGGTGGGCTCACCACCATGCAACTCAGCACTGCCTTCCCCTGCAAAGCCTACTGTCACCTGGCACGTGGTCAGGGCAGCTCAGCATGGTGACTGGTTGCAGATGGAATGGAAAGGGATCTGCACAGCAGCCTCAGACCCTGCTGACTTTTTTATTGCTGTCAATGCATCTGCCACAAGTTCTTCCCCGTCTCCTAGCCTACGTCCTCCCATGACTTCTCATCTTTTGCATGGCCTTTGCAATGCCCCGTAACCGCCCCAGCTTTGCAAGAACTGTTCTGCTTGCAAGGCTGAGGAAATCTCTCTGCAGGCAGAATACAATGGCAGAGTACAGTGGGAGTCCAATATTTTAGATCAGCTGTGTCACTGCAGCCCTGTTCTGCTACAGGGCAAACAGCATCACCTTCAAGCACACCTCATGCCACTGGTGTAGTGCTGGTGCAGGACTCACTCCACCAGGGGAATGCTGCTTAAACTGCCCAGAATTACAGTGTTGCTCTCAGGACTGCAAACTCAAAGTGTAGACATGCAAAAGGCCGTGCCAATACAAGCACAATTTACTTGGTCTGCACACAGAGCTCCTTGCAGCTCAGCTCTGCATCCACATGCTTCTGTCACGCAGGATTGAGCATCACCTTAACCCAGCAGAGCCCTTCTATGCAAATCTCTGCCTGCTCTGCATTGTGCAAAGTATTGACTCCAGAATTAGATCCAACAAGATGACATTTTTCTGCAGCAAGCACATTCAGACTTAGTCTTTTCAGGCCTTGTATCTCGGTTATTAATAGTATTGTTTGCCTTCTTTTGGAAAATTGAATTCATGTGATAAAGAGGAACTTTATATATTAAATTCTGATGCACAACTTCTGGTATGAGTGCTCTTGCAAAATACAGAAGTGGAAAATGTAGGTTATGTGGTGGGAAGTTGTTTTCTTTTTTGTTTGTTCATTTGCTGCTGTTGTTGTCTTTTATTTTGCAAATTTCATATGACAAAGCCAGCAAAGAAGAATAGCAACATTTAACAAATCCATTACCTGTCAATCTTGTCCCATCCAATCAGGTGACAAATTCAGGTGGGCATTGCAAGGTTTGATAAGAGCTCTTACATAGCAATTATTTCAGGCAAAAAAGAAATGATTAAAAGATGTAAGCAGTACAACTGCCAGTATACACACAGCTCTAGGTAAGCTCAATTAAAATAGAAGAACTTTCTGGGAAGCGCAGGCATTGGATTTCCTTCTGCAGCAGTAAGTGAAACGAAGAGCACAAACGTGGATTTTTGCACAGGACAAATGTTGCAGTATTTCTCAGGGACCAGTTCTCCCCTGGAAAAGAATGGTCAAACAGAAGCAACGCATCCTTGTTGTGCTTCATTGCTGTGACTCTGTTAGCCCAGCATTTAGCATGTGGGACGCAGCTGAACAAAAATGGGTTTCTTGAATTTTTAGTGACTGACTGAAATCCACACATGTACCGGTTATTTTAATTTAAGGAAAAAGGATTTTGTTTCTTTATCCTGTTACATAACTCTGGATCTATTCTCCCTTGAATACACAAGTGTGTTTATCATTAATCTTAAAGGGAAACAGTCACCCTTCAAAACCTTTGCTGAGTTTATATGTTTTTTAATGTTGGATCCCAAATGACCGGCTGTGAATTAAAGATGAAAACACATTGTTTATTTTCTAAATCAGATTACTTTAACCTCATTTTATGCACGGCTCTTTTACTGCTTTTCCCCAATAGCAACAGCGAAGAAAAAAAAAAAAGATCATTCTTTTGGACATGACTTCCAAAATGCAAAACATACAGCTCATGCAGCACCCAGCAGAGCTGAGTCCCTGTTATTGCTTTTAGCTCACTTTTATGAAGCCGGCTGCCTTTCAGCTTGAATACATTCTTTAATAATACCTATAGCTTTCATTCTATGCCACATTCCACTCAAGGGTTTTAAATTGCTCAGGAGCTCTTGAAAATCCTATGGGCACAGGAGAGCTTTTTTATTTCCAAACAGCTGTCAGTTAACCTGAGACACCAGTGTGACCACTGGCGCCCAGTTTGGTCCCTCTGGGTTTGCCCCTCGCTTTAGGGATCAGCTCCTGTAAAGGAGGAGGCATTTCTAGACCTGCCTGGTGTTTTGGAAAGGCTTCAGCCTTTCCGATTTGCAAAGTGCCTCAAATTAACATGTAATTACCTTGACGTAAAGAAACGACCAGCGGAAGCAAGCCTGTAATGGCCAAGCAGTTTCAAACATAAGCAAAATAGGCCACCAGTAGTATTAAATCACATTCCTAATAGAATGGAAAACCATTGAGGCTGCTTTTTAAGAATTCCCGTGGCTTTTAGTTTCCTGGTGTGCATTGGTTCCATCATTGGCAGATTCACATGATTGGGGTGTACCAAAATCACAGGTCGCGCTTTGACTTCTGTTTGATATTTTATGTATGTATGTATGATTTAAAGAGATAAACTAAGAAAAATTAAATGCCCAGGCTTTAATTTCATCTAAAACAAATACAAACTAAAACTGCAACAACTGAGTGGATTGCATGGATTAGTGAAATATCCCAGTACATAATAGCAATAGAAACAATTCTATTCCCTGGTTCAGTAATGCTTAAAATCTGCAATGCGGAGTCACTGCATGATGCTTAAATCCCCCACCAAATCTGCTACCCTTTTTTCAAGCTCATGGTCCTTTGCCATACAGAGGAACCCCGAAGGCTGCCCTTCTATAGGGGTATTTATACAGGAAATCTTTGTTTGGAGACTTGTTAATGCACTGGGCTTACTCAGAGCATCTTTTTACCATTCTTACCTCCGTCCTTCTTTACAGATAGTGAGTGCTCTTAGAGTTCTGCCTGGAATAAATTTTGCGCTTTTTTAATTTTAATCTTTATATGTAAAATCTTTCCAATCCTTGCAAAACCTGTCTCTTGTTCTTGCCTTGGTCCTGAGTTACATTCCCCTGAGCAGGCACAGGATGAGAAGAAACAAGGTTTTTTTCCCTTAAAAAGGAAATCCACTTCAATTTTCAAGGTTTGCTGATGAGCGTATCTGAGATCCTGGAGTGATATCTCCCCTCCATCCCCCTCACATGATAGAAACATGATCTACCTCTGCCATACGCTTGCGTTAATACGCATCCATGTGCGAAATGAGGCAGTCCCATCACTGCCCCTTGAGATCTCCTTCCCATGGTGCAGACACAGCGAATCTCTCCCGACTTCTGTGCCATCTCAGTAGATTTCCACACGCCGGAGCCAAGCTGGGGATTTGGCCCAGTGTCTTTTTTAAAACCTGTGACCCAGACGTGGAGATTAAAGACGAGTTCTGTTATTGGATTAAACAGATACAAGAGGTGCTCACAACATCAGCACCTAACACCTTAAAACTCCAGTCGGGAGATCTGCGTGCAAATGGGGAATATGTTCTGTAGGAAGGAGGCAGAACACAAAGGAAGAGCACTGCTAAGCTGTGCCTTGGACAGGTGTGAAAAACCCAGCCATGCTGGGTGATGTGCAAAGCACAGCAGCGTTGTATCCTGGCTTTCTATAGGATCATACTACTGGATATGCTGTAGGCCTGGTGTACAAGTCATTCAGACTATATTTACCTGTAACCAAAGCAGTTTGGGCTGAATTTATTTCAGTTTGAATGAACATTTTCATGGTTGAAGGGGAGACGCTTGGCTCTGCTATTCATGGCACCACCACCTATTGAAATGAACGGAACTGAGGAACTAAAAATAGCAGTAGATTAAAGCCAGACCATCAGTAAAAGGACAGTAATTTAAGGCACTGTTTACATGCTTAATATGATGCACATGCTTATGCTTTGCAATTTGGGCTCTGACTTGTGATGTCGGTTACATAAGAGCTGGAGGAGGCATTAGTGGTGCCATTCCCCAAACACTCTCCAAGCTCCATCACAGAAGTTGTGTTGTCTCATATTGAAACAGCAGGCAGCGATGCACATATTTATGACACTAAAGTATTAATTAATATCATTGTTCCCCTCAGTTCCAGGTACTGTTTACATGCTACTGATTTCAAAACAGCTTGGGCTGTTTTTTTTCCTTCCCTCAAGCATTTTTTTTTCCCCAAACACAGCGAGCAGCCACGTGCTGCATGTGGCTGATTTATTTTTTTTTCTAAAGAACGAGGAACAACAGAACAAGAGAGAGAGCCAGAGACAGAAAATACAGGCTTTGATTCCTCTAGAGAACTTGAGCAAAATGTTCCGCTGCTGTCAGTGGTACAGCTGTGCTGGCAGGAGCTGCGGTACAGATGAGGTTCCAGCCACTACTCGCGTTTTGCTGCCGCTTCCTCATCGGCATCGAGGCATCCTCGCTGCAGCTGAGCAGGTGGGAAATGCTCTGCCTCGTTCCCCAGCACGGCCGTGGCTGCCTGGGTTTGTGGTCCCTCGTGGAGTCTCACAGGGATGCGCGCGGATGCTGAGCTGCAGTACAAGAAACCTGATTCATAAGGCGTAGGTGGCAGCATGCACTACATCGTGTAATTAGTTTAAACCAGTCTGTCAGAGCAGATAGCTTTTCAATTAGCTGAGTCTATCTTACACCTGTATCTATCTTTCAGTTTGAGGTCCATTCATTTTTCCCACCAGCTCGGTGCTGGGAAATCAGGGAGCGCTCTGAGTTGTGATGCTGTGGCTGTGGCACACTGCACCTGGTGTCCTGCCTGCAACCAGTGCATCTCCCTGAGCTTCTGCACGAACCAGCCGAGGAAATCAGCTTTTCCTAGAGATATCCCTAAGGCTGATGTGATGGAATTTGGTTCCCTCACCATCCGGGCAATAGGTAAGAGGCTCCATAGGTGTTACTCACCCAGCACCATCCTAGTGGTGTGGGAAGATCGGGTCAGTGTCTGGGAGAGCCTGACAGCAGGGCTGGGGGGAATGTTTGTTCCTTTTGGCTCAATCCCTGCTGCTCGCAGCGTGCGAGGTTAGCACAGAGGGGTCTCTTTATCTGCTGCTCTGCAGCGTGAACGGTATTTTACAGTGCAGTGCGTCTCAGTTCTTTGCAGGGGCTGTATGAAAATGCTTAGCGAGCCTATATGCTGCCGTACCCTTTATTCACAGAACGACAGCAGATGAGGGTAGAAAAGCAGAGAGACATCTCTGAGCCACATCCCCGTCCGACTCCATGAGGAAAGCACCGCAGGCTTTCGGAGAAACGAGAGCCAATGCGGGACAAACCGTTGCTCCGCTCCTTTCTCCTGCGGCCGCCCCACCGCACTTTGTAGTGCGGCGAAGCCGGGCGGGGAGGAGGCAGAGAGCGGTGCCGCCGGGTCCGTGCCGCTCCCCAGGCACCTGCCAGCCGCGCTTCCCCCAGCAGGAAAAGAGTCGCCCCGAGCACATAATGCCCCCCAGCCAACTCGGAGCGACACCGACCGCGGAGTCCGAGCGCCCGTCGTCCTCCCGGGTAGCGCGGCCGGATGCTTTGTCTGAGAGAAGGGCTCTCTTTGTGCGGGGATGGAAAAATAGCGACAGACGAGAAACGAAACCCTCGCGCGGAGCCCTCGGGCAGCGGGTGAGGCTGCGGCCGCGAGCGGGGCGGAGCGGGGGGGGGAACCGGTCCCGGCCCCGGGCGGCCGCAGCCGCTGCCCCGCACCCGCCCGCCCCTCCCCGCCGCCCCGCGGCCGCCTGCCAGCCCGAGCTCCGCCGCCGTGTCTGCGGCATGGCCCCTCCTCCCCCACACCCCTTCCTTTAGGCTCCCCCCTCCCCAGCAAAGAAGAGGCCGTGCCGGTGTTTTTCCACTCAGCAGGATGGGTGATGCTCAAAGCTCCCTCATTAGACAACAGACACGAGAGGTCAGGAAGAAAGCGCTTATAAATTACCGTTTCCTCCCGCTCGGCGCTGTTAGTCGCGCCGCACCGCTCCGCCGGACGCTCCGCACGGCCGCAGGGGCGCAACGGCGCGCAGGCACCGCGGGCAGCAGCGGACGCAGGTAGCGGCACCTCCCGGGAGGGCGGGCGGTGGGGCCGGAGCGGAGCTGCGAACAAAGGGCAGCCGAGCTGCGCCGCGCTGCGCTGTGCATCTCCGAGCGGAGCGGAGCCGAGCTGAGCCGAGCCGAACCGGGCCGGCAGCGCCCTGCCTTTGTCCGCGCTGCCTGCGCGTTCCCTTCCCCCTCCGTGTATTTATTTGCTCTTTCTTCGTCTCTTACCCCCCCCCCCCCCCCCCTTCTCTCCCTAGCTGTCTCGTTACCCGAGTGGTTTTATTTCTTCCCCAGCGGTTATTTTCATCCCCCCTCACCCCTCCCCATCACCACCTTGCGTTAACTTTTTTTCGAGATAACAGTTTGTAGCGGTGTAATTACCCACTTACTGGCGGCCCTCCAGCGCATCTACGGAGCACGCTGCTCTTTTTCGCCCTTTTTCTCTCGCCTCCCCCTCCGCTCCCACTCTGCCCGCTGTGTTTTTTCTGGCTGCCGTGCACTAACCTCGAGTTCAGAGGCTGGTACAGGCGATGCTGCATCTGATGCTCGTGGGCCTACCTGGTGGGTAATACCGCTGCTGCTCTTCCTTTGCTTTTCCTCATTTTTTTTTTTTTAATTTTTTTTTTTTTAGTTGCTCCTTGGCGAGCTCCAATGAAAGTTGTGATGGGTTTGGGGCTGCACAGGGCAGGGTGCGGAGCTCAGTGTGGGGCGGTGATTCTGGAGTGAGTGGGATCCACGTTTCCCCCAATGGTTTTAGGATAACGGCTGCCCATCTCGCCTCTACCAGGCAGCGTGTGAGAGGATTTGTGAGGTTTCCATATAAGAACATGGGAGAATTTATTTCACACGGGTAAAGAAATGTACGGATTGTGTGTTATTTAGGAAACAGAAGGCAAGCTGTGTTGTTCATAGGCAGCTCTGAGAGGGGCACAAGTTTGTATTCAGAAACTGTAAAAGCTGATTTCTGCTGTTTAATAAGAGCTATGTTTAAAGGAAATTGCTGATGGAAAAAGTAGTGGGGAAAGATGCAGATAAATGTGAAGAAAAAGCTCCACATGTATTCCAGCACGGTTTGTGCTGAGGTGTAGAGATGGAGTTTTGGGTTCGTTCTCATTCTTTTAACCGTATTGGGAAAGGCATTAAGAAAATGCTGCGAGAGGAGCTGGTTACGTTGGAAGTGCTATTTTGGTAACTGCAGTATTTTTTTGCTTGCATGACAAAATGTTTTGGGTTTTGTATTAGCAGGAAAGCGAGGCAGCCCTGTCTGTAGGCTTGTCAGTGTAAGTTGGTGCTTGGGTGACAGTTGCTACTGGTTTAGTTTGCATGGGGTTGGGTGTAAAATAGCCCATTAAAACCTGCTGCTGTGGAGTTTGGAGGGGAGAGGCTTTGGTGAAAGCCTTGATTTTTCTGATAGCTGGCTGTTTACTTCAGGGTTAGGATTTGGGTGAGCTCACTGCTTATTCTCATTGTCTATTTTTGCATGAGTATTGCAGAGAGATTTCCCTGAAGGCTGTCACAGAAGTGCAGTGGTGGGGTTGCCCAGAGTGTAGTTTGGTTTGTTTTTTATTAAAGAAAAATGTGAGTAACGGGGGCAGGCAGAACCAGGACAGAGTCACTCATCCACAGTGGGAGGGAATATGGTTGAGGCTGAAGCATGAGTGTGCCTGGAGGATGTCGTTGTTGCCTTGGTTGGGCTGACACTGGAAACTTTATTTTTGGCACTTTCAGAGATAGCATCTTTGTATTTCCTCTTCAACTGTCTCTTTCTTTTCTCTGCTTTGCATGTATTTTTTCTCTTCATTTGCCTGCATCTCACCTTCTCTTTTCCTTCCCCTTCACACCTGCTTTGCATTGCTTTGAGGCAGCACCCACTGGAGGGCGACAGACACCTGTCCCCGCGCTGCCCCGCGTGGGAAGGGAGCGGACCCCACAGCCCGGGGGACAAAAGGCCGCTTCTCGCTGTCATTTATTAACCCACATCTTTTATGTGTGGTGCCAGGGGTGTTTGCTGCCACACTTTGCAAAAAGCGGGAGCTCGCAGGTGGCACTGTGACGTTGGGAGGTACTGGGAAGGTAGCTGTGTGCTTGGGGTGCTGGGTGAAATAGCCTGGGGCTTCGTCTGTGGGGATTTTGGTCTGGAGTTCAGCAGAAATTCGGAATAATTCAGGTGCTGCTATGTTTGCTTTTATTTGACTTTGCTGTAGCTGAGAGCAAAATGCTGTTGGCAGTGACTAATTTATAGCTTTTGGGGGGTTGTTCGGATGTTTCTTATATGGCAGAGGTGAAATGTATGGACTGTGGCTGGAGGCTTTGGTGCATTTTAAATCCTGCATGGGAAGAGGTGCAGCACTGCTAGGGAAGAGAGGAAGGCACTTTGGGTTGGCTTGCTTTTTCTGCACAGAGTTATGGAAGCCCCGTGCCTGAGCACAGCTGTTTTAAAGCCTCAGGGATGGATTTGTCTTACAGGTGATCATTGCACATATTTCACTGAGTTTCCTCTTAAATCAATACTCTGCAGAACCAAGACTGAGCTACATCTTGGTGGTCTCTAGCCAAGTCCTGTTGGCTGAGTGTCTCCAAAGAAACGCTCAGGCAAAAGCCTTTAAACAGGCTGCTGTGTCTCTCAGGCAGTGATGTCCATAGTATTTACCCTAACACTCAGCAGCAAACCCCTGTTATTTTAATTTTGTCCCTTCTCAATTTTCCAGTACCCTTGGTTTGGATAGAAACTGCCTGTTCCATCAGAAGGGTTATCCCTTTGCACTGGTGCCCTACCCAGGCATTTAATCATGTTCTGAAAAGCTTATGCTCATTTGTTTCTTTTAAATTTAACCATATTGCAACACATGAGAATGGATGGGAAAGCAGTGGTAGTTAAGGCCTTTTGCAAGTAATGCTTGTTTGATTGCTCATACTAATAAACTGTAGATCATTGAAGAAGTGCATCTTAGAATAGATTAACTACTGGGATTAGTGCATTTGACTTCTCATCATTGACTTCACTCCTGTGAAGGGGGACTGCTTGCAGGGCTGAGTCCTCATTTGGAAGAAAAGCTTGAGGATGAAAATTCAGTGATTTAACATTTGTTGAATTTCTCCCATAAATGCATACTTACTTGAATCCTCAGCTGTTGTAGTGCCATGGATTTAATTGATTTGTGCTAGCTGAGTATCATCCCAAGGCATGTAAACTCTAGGCGATACTCTTTAAATTACTTACAGAGTAGCTAATATTGATATAAGATAATGTGGTAGAAATTAAATGAGGGTTGCCATTGTGCATTGTTCTTCCCTTCCTCCCTTTCCCCCGAGACAGCCGTTGGAAGGTCTACCATGCTGCCAGGCTGTGATTTGGAACTGTGTCTGGAGTCCTACAGCATCTGCTGCGTTTCTGTCAGACTCATTTTTGTGTGCACGTCTAGATTCACACAAACAAAAAGCAGATCGGTACCGACTCTAAACCCTGCTCCAAGAGCATCCACAAATCCTCCCAGCTTGGCTGCTGGAAGGGGAGAGTGAATCAAATTCTGCAGCCAGCTGTAGGTGGGAAGCAGCAGGCAGATGGCATGCGGCTGTGTGAGGGTGGCTGGTAAAAGCCATGTGCTGCTGGGCATATTTGTTCATTTCAGCAGTTACTGGATTTCCTGTTGTGGTTCTTTGTTGCCCAGCCCAAAGGAGTGCCTTTGGCTGCAGGACGTGGGTCTGAGTGCAGCTGGTGCTTGAGTGCTGGTGTGGAGAAACGATGATGCTGTGCCAGAGTGCAGCAGCAGCAGCCAGGGCTGGGGTGTGGGGTAGGTGGGCTGCACACAGGTAGGAGAGCATGAGAATGTAGAGCCGTGGGTGTTGGTCAGCTCAAATGTTAAAAGCTCCCTCTTTTTTTTGCTTCAGATCACGTGGCATTTGCATTTTATTTCACTGCTGCAGTGTAGTTCCCTTACTCTTGAAACTGATCTAGGCAAATTTTCTGCAGTGTTTTCCATTGAATGAAACAGATGAGAAACAATCTGATTTGCCACTGTTACTGCCTTCATTGTCCTGATGTTCTTCAAAACTAAGCTCACACAGAAGGAATTCAGAAAACTCTATGCATGCTAATATTATAACATGCCTGACTTGTCTTCCCGGACCCTTTTTTTTTTTTCCTTTAAAATATTTTTTTTGCTTTTTCTTTTTTTATTTCCAAACAGGAAGAGAAAATCCACTCCGGAGAGACTCTTCTTCACGTAAGTGTTATTTACGCTTGTTTATAAAATTACAAAAGGCTTATAAAGATGATTAAAACGTTCCAATTCTGAACATTTGCCATCTGTTCATAGAAACCAAGTGTAGGCATGTAAAGATAGGCTGTAGTTACGCTGCAATAATGCTCAGCAACTGTTACCTTTAATCTATCTGTGCTGTTCTTCTGTGCATATCACTGCAGAATTTAGAAACTCTGCAGTCATTTAAGTAGCATGCCTGTAAAGTTGGTGTGTAAATCCTGAAGGGGCAATATTACAGTGGTAGTGGAGATCGATGGGTGAGAACTCATGTTAGCACCTCAGAGTCCCCGACCCCCAGACTCCATGACAAGAATCAGCTTCTCTACCTTGGATTCAACAAAATCCAAGTTCTGTCTGTAGAGCCATTTGTGTGTGTGCACGTGTACTAGCGTGTGCATGTCTCTGTGTGAGTAAGAGAGAGTGTGTATATGTGTATTTGGCCTCAAATAGCATATAGAGGTATTTCAGGCCTTTTCTATAACCCGTGGTGATACCCGTTAAAGTCACACTAAATGCCACTGTTGATTGGTGAATACTGTTGCAAATGTTTTGTGAAAGCATTTGGCTCCAGACTGGACCCTCAGTCTGGAAGAGCCCAGTACAGTATTCTTTGTGGGGCAAAGAAAGCTGCATGTCGTAAAGATTAAACAGTTTTCTCCACACCACGTAGTGGTTTGGTTTCCTTGCAGATGTCTGATTTAAAAACTCTGAGTAGCCTAGTTAAGCTCTGCTCTGGTATTTCTTCCTAGTAAATAAATCTGATTAAACGTTTTAAGGGGCTGCATAGATGAAGAGTCTCATTGCTTAATGCAAAATTAGCTTAGCAAGGAAAATGACTGCATTGTTCCCAATGCAGGGCCCGCTTTGCATAACCCCAAAGCATGTACTGTGTCAAGTGGCATGGCAAGCCCACGAGCGCTCACGTCAGGCTGATTTCCCACAAATCAACATTTTTTTGGAAAAATAACATACATCTCTGAATTGCAGCACTCCATTTATGCTTGCATAGCAACTGCTGGTTAATATGTAGCAAAACGCGGTGTGGTAACAAATGTTTTTTTGCTATTGTTGAGCTGGAATGTTAGTTCAGCTTCTAGATAAAAGTGGCTTGCGCAAGGCGCCCTGATAGACCATGATTTCTGTGGCTTGTATGGTAGTTCTGTAGGCAACCGTGGTCTGCTGTTCCCCTCCCCTTGCTTCCCTTCATTTTCCATGTCAGAGAGGTGGGGTTAGGTGAAGGCAGAGAGCCGGCGGCCCTTTGAACCCAGCAGAGCACGAGTGTGCGGCCCACTGCCAGTCAAGCATCTGCAGCAAGCACTCTTTGTTCCAGTTGTGTTTGTAGGAGAAAAGTCGTAAGGCGCTTTAATTAATAGCTTTGAACAGTAAGTGTTCTTTGGCTGGTTTTATGGATATCATAGGGCCATCTTTCTGGAAAGAATAAAGTCAATAGTAAGAGAAAGGAACCCCCAGAAAGAACTAAGGGATCATCCTTTCTTATGGCTTGAATCCTAACTGAGGTTAGTTCAGGGGGCTGTGTGTTTGTCAAGGTACATGATCATTTTTTAAAGGCAACGGAGAAGAAAAAATTCCAGAAAGCTTTTTATTATCATTAAGATTAGTATTTCATTCTAGCATAGGAAATTAAAATCTCCACATGTTTTCCAGAGATTTTATGGGGAAAAAATAAAGAAAGGGGAAAAAAAAAACCCAAAACCCATAATAAAAACCCAAACTAACAAAAAATACCTTTAAAAAAAGAAGCTCCCTACCAGAGAACCCAAACAGGTGAACCCTGCAGAAGTGGCTGTATGGTGCCTGGAAACTGCAGAATGAGTGTGCAGCCCCATGCAGCACAAGTCTGAAGAGTTTTCTCTGGACATGGCAATATAATAAATAATCAGGAGCCTCCTAAGTCCAATACATGTGCTCCAAAATGAATGAGCAATGAAAGGTTTGTGGTCCATAGGCCATTTGTGGTGCAACCTTCCATCACCTGCTGTGGCTTTTTGACAGCTAACGGCAAGCTTTAAGCATCAGAGCCTCTCTCTTCTGGTTCTGTGCATGAAATATTACGACTTTGACTCAATAACTCTACTTGTGCCTGTCTGTGCATCGGCTCCCTTTGGCTTCTTCAACTGTGTGGGCTTCTGAAAGAGTTAAACCCCAGGGATGGGCCTAGCAAGGCTGTTGCAAGATGGTGGCCTTAATGGGCAGCCATGCTCCTCCGAGCCTAGTCAGATGGGGCCGACTCCTGAGGCACCGAATGCACTGTGGGGGGTTAGCCCTCAAGACAATCACTATGACAGAAAGGACTTTTTGTGCCAATAACCAGCCTTATGTAGTGGTAATGATAAGAAAGGGACCATCTTATTGTAGTCACTTTGCGACAAATACTACCACAATTCATTACTTTCCATCAGTGCCTCATCCTATGGAGGAATCACCACTGCCCATCTACATTGAGGAGGGGACAGAAGTCCCGATTGGTGAGTGCAGTTGGGATGGGATCTGTTTAAGGGGGGGTATAATGGTACTTGGGGTTTATATTCCTCACGTTTGTGTATACCCATTTGTCTTTGAAAAATTCTAAGGCTTGTTGCAAATGTTTTGTTTTTATTTTCTCAATGCAAGTGTATTTTAGAGCTCCTGAGAATTGACAAATACGACAAAGTGTTGGTTCCCATTCAATCATAAGACAAAGCATGTGATTTATGCAGCAACTTCCATGCAGATGTCTTAACACAACACTGGGGATGGCCACAAATATCAGAAAAGGTAGTGCCCACATCAGCCTTTGACCTCAGCACTGAGATATTCAGAATATTTCAGAATATTCTGCCAGTTGGGTCAGCAGTTTTTGTCTTGCTCACACTGTCCTGCCTGCAGACTGACATTGCATATCCTGCTGAAAAACCCAGAGAAGAGTTAGATACGTTTGCCATTACCTGTGCTGCACATCAGAGTGCTGCACACCCCCATGTCTGAGGTCTGGTGCAGATGTATCATCACTACGTGTATACCTAGGTTCAGTTTTGTTCTCATTTTATTTTGTGGTGTTAGTGGATTTTTTGTTTATTTCTTTGTTGTTTGTTGGGGTTTGTTCTGTTTTGTTTTCAAATACAAAAAAGCAGTCTTTCATATAGTCCATTAAGAAAGATACTAAAAGATCAGTAAGTTGGTCTGTGGTGATCTGTTTGGACTATAGAAGGCTGAGACTACATCATTTCTCATAGCTACTTATTCTTGGATGCATCCAGTAAGTGTGCCTTGGCCACCACCTGCAGAATCTGTTCTGTTGAGCAGTTGTGTCTCTTCAAATAACTTTTTCTTACTGTACATCCTGAATGTTTCCATCCCAACACTTAAGCAATTGCTCCTTGTCCTACTGTCTTTTGAGCTAGATTAATTATGTGCCTCTACACATAGTGCATTGAAGGTATTTATAGGTGGATCGCAGCCCAGGAGTCTTCTTATTTATAGACCATTTTAATTTATCTCCCTTATGCTCTCCTTAGATCATTTTTTGTTGTCCTTACTTGTATTTTCTTTACTTTTTCTATCTCCTTGGTAATCTGTGGAGGCTGAACAGTTCACACTATATATCCTATGCAGTTGTTTTGACATTGCAGTATGCTTTAGATTTCTGTATCACCCCTTCATATGTACAGATCCAAAAATAGCCTAGCTTTGCTCCTTCTGCATCATTCAGAAGCACCACATATAGAAACTGAATTACATGGCTAATCTTACCTGCAGTCACCTTTAGGTCTTTCTTGGGTTCACAGCAATGTCACTGCTCTCCTGAGATGTAGGGCTTTTTATTAGCAGCAAAGCCCCATTCCATTTCATGCTACTTGGTTATTTTACCTCAGATTGATTTAAGACAGTCTGCCTACATATTGATATTAATGCTCTGGGATTTTTTCATTTTAAAAAGAAGTTGTTTCTGTTCTATGATCTACAGAGCAGAGAAATACTAACAATTTTGTAATTTGATACGTATCACATCTGTCTTCTGCAGATTACCCTAGGCTCATTTTCCAGCTCCATCATTCCTGTTTGCATACTTTCCCCTAGTTTTTCTTCTAGTTATAAAAATTCATAAAGTAAAAATGGACAGGTCTAGCTCTCTCCTTTCCTTCATGTTGTATGTTTTCTTCTTGTTAAACAGCTGAGATGTTGTTATTGTGTTCCTTTTGTGTATGGTATAGTGTGGCCTTTCCTCGTCACAATTAACTTTTTTCTCACCTCCTCTGGGATTGCACTCAGCTGAACAACACTGTCCCCTCTGGTAGAGCCATCTGGTAGAACTCCTATGGTTGAACCATAAAGCTAAGTTCTGTATTGGACCACGATATTGTCAGCTTGTCTGCCCCACTGCACTGAGGAAATGTTGATTGCTGAGGTGTTGGTGTCTGCACAAGATAAAAACAATAAGGTTGATGAATGACAAAAACAACCAACCAAAAAAAAAAAAAAAAAAACCAAAAAAACCCAAAAAACAATGAAACCCTGAAAAACATCCCTGAGAGTGGAAAACTTTTAAGAGGATGTTTATTCGGTGTTTCCATGAAGGAAATTTTGTTGGATCAGGATCTGTGATGCAGTAATAGCTGTGAAGTGCCCAGATTGGGTTGGGAGGTGCATCATTTCTATTTTAAATATGTATCTGGACTGTCAACAGTGCAAGTTGTAGTTGAGGGAGAATGATTGGAAAAAATAAATGATACAGAAATGAGAGGAAATCACAAGCTCTGGGTTTGGAATTTGAATACCTGGCATGGGTCAGGGCTTTTATAATAGTTGCACACAGTATAAATGGTCAAGCTAGGAAGTCAGCTGCAGAAGTCTGCTCTGGGTTTGGGTCTCCGTTCGTGTCCTGCTTTCCACTCAGCTTGCTGGAATGATCCAGGTTCAGGGTATCTGTTCACACTTGTGTAGATCAGAATAGGAGCTAAAAGAAGCCATTCCTGAGTTCAGGTTGCAGAAAAAGAACACACAGTGCAGTTGTTAAAACTATTTAGCACAGTTGTCATTTACTTTTAAAGCATTTGTTTGGAGAACTTAGATCATTTCCTCATCTGAAACACATTTTGGATAGTATACAGCATGCTATGCTATGCTGTCCCAAGCCGGACCAGTAGTTGTAGAGGGCTTTGTAACTTCTGTATTTATGAAAAAAATGGAGAAATCAGTTCTTTCCAAGTGTAAATTTAACAACCCTAATTATTTCAAGCAATTTAAAAAGGAACATAAATCTCACTTGTTTATTACAGCTGCTTCTTGAAAACAGCAGCCAAAAATAATAGCTTATAATGAAAATCCAGCTAACGCTATCATGAAATAACCAACAAAATATCTGGTATATGGGATCTGGCCAAAGGCAGCATTTCATTCTCTGGAAGGAGGGTGTTTGCATTGAGGAGAAGGTGGTTATTACATAAATGCTGTTTTTATCTCCGTGTGTGAAATGAAGATATCAGCATCTCAGCATAAATGAATAAATCTTCCGATTGGAAGAAGGTCTGAGCTCTGCACACTTTCTGCCTACTTTTAGCAGTTTCTCAAGTACATTCCTAGAGAAAGGTAGGTAAGCTAGGTGCAAACAAGCATCCCACTAAAAGATAAGCAGTTCAGAAGATTTTAGGTGAATAGGTAGAACAGACTATTGTTCATCATGGCTGGTCAATAGTGGGAAATGGTTTCAAACTAGAAGAGGAGAGGTTTATAAGGACTGGCTATAAGGAAGAAGGTTTTTACAGTAAGGGCAGTGAGGTGCTAGCACAGGCTGCCCAGAGAGGTGCCCCATCCTTGGAGAAAGCCAAGGTCAGGCTAGACAGGTTCTGAGCACCTGATGGAGTTGTGGGTGTCCCTGTTCATTGCAGGGGGGTTGGACCAGATGGCTTTTAAGGGTTCCTTCCAACTCAAATGATTCTATGGTTCTTAGGTTCTATGGTTTATAAAGGGGAAAAAAAAAAAAAAAAAAAAAAAAGGGAAGAAAATATTTGTACTGGCAGTTGCTGTATTTGAGCCATACAGAACATCACTGAGGGAGTAATTGCCTCCTCAGGGATCAGGGAGCAATAGCGCTGTAGGTTGAGATGTTTGTTTATGTTATTCCTTCCAAGTCACATTTTGAGATCTTAGTGTTGTTTAATACTGCCTGTCAAATTAGCTGCAAAGGCACACAAAATCAGAATCTAATTCTCCACTGATTTACTCCAGCAGAGCTTTGTTGATTCCAGCAGCATTGCTATTGCTTTATCACAGTACAAATAGAGTCAGAGCCAGTTCCCCTTGTTCAGGGATCAGTCCTGCTGCCCTTGCACCCTGAGGCATGTCTGCAATAGATCTGAGTCCCTGTGCAGGCAGAATCCCAGCTCCTGATCTTACTGATTCACTTCTGCTAATGACAAGTACTGCCTGAGCAGACTTATTTAAAATGTATACGAGTGTTACATAGAACTTGTCTATGTAGGATATTTTCCACCATTAAATCATCTCACTGTGATGGAAAACCCCATTAGCACTATGAAACCATATTCTTCTGGTGGTACTCAGAGGTCATGGTGTAGCCCAAGCTCATTTGAGTGATCTTGATTAGGGAAGAAGAGTTTTCTTGTAATTGCACACACTTTCTTGTGCTGCTGCTCAGTCCCTGCTTTTAAGCATCTCTGATGTCTCATTAGTGGTAAAATCTTTCCTGCATTTCCAGTGTCTTCAGACTCACTGAAAGATGCTTTGTTATTTTCATTTCATCCCTTGATAAGACAGTTTTGTGGGGTTATTTTTAAGCAGTCAGCATAGGAGATGAAACTTTCTCAGGCAGGGAGAGCGTTCAGCACCTTGAAGAGAGTTGGCAATGTCTCCAGGAGGTTGCCTTCCCTTGTTAAGGAAGAGAACCATTGCTGTCATACACACTTCTGGGTTTGCTCTTTCACGGGGTGCTGGCACGTGGAAAGCTTGATTTTTTTGCCAGGTACCAAGTGCTTTCTGCAAGGTATTGAGTGCCCTCCTGTCCTTTGCAGCCAAAAAAGAATTGATTGCTCTTGGCATCGGGCAAATCTGGACTCAGAAGACCGCAGGTAGTATTCACCAGTTATTTATGTGCTTTGCATGCCAGAGTTTGTCTGAATTGATTTCCCTAGAATACAAGAGACTTCAGGCATTAATGATGCTTGCCACTAAAACCATTATTTTATATTTTGAAAATAATAATACAATAATAAGCATGAAAATTATTACATTGCCACAGGGAAACTAGTTGTTTTTTTGTTTTTTTTTTTAAATCAACTACAGTCCAAGTAACTATTAGCTCTTCAGATTCATTGCAAATGTGTGAGTTATACACCCTGACTGAGCAACATATTCCAATTTACTGTGGCACAGTGGGTCACAGGACACACTATGGAAAGCAATAACTGGCATGCATTGTTCATTTGGGTGTTTTTGTTTGGTTTTCTTCAAGGAATGTGTTTTTAGCCTG